TCATAATCATAACGTCTGAAGTTCTTTCATTTCTATCAGTAGACATGATTTCAGATATGATGGCATAATGATGACAATCTTGCACAGTAGTATGTGTACTATGCCATGGGATCCTAGTAATCTGATATAAAAATAGAAGTTTCAAAGTGCCAGAAAGAAACTAATACATTTGTGCCTATGTGAACGTCAATCTCCTTAGCATTACATTTATATCAATATTCAATTTGATGAAGCACTTTAGATTTGCTGTAGTAATTTTACCTCATGAATTATTCAAATGGTTCTTTTCATAAAAGCAATAGAGTCAGTTCCAGGACAGAGTAACCTTTACAGTGTTTAAGAGCTCAGGCTCACTGGTCACACAAACCTGGGTTTACATGCCCTGCTTCTGCCACCTATTAGCTGGATGACTTCATTCTCCTGATCTCTAAAGTGGGAATAATTTTAACACCTATTGCAGGGTTGTTGTGATGATTAAATGAGAGATTGTGTGTACTCTGTCTGGCAAAGAGCAAGCATCCAAGAATTAGCTATTATTATTTATTGGTAATAAACTCTTTGACTGTAAGAAAGGTCTTTTCTAGATATTTGCCAAGAAATATAAGTTAGCCTCTCGCAATAGCAGTTCCAAATTATCTCAGGCATGGCTAGTATTTTCTCTCTGGAGGAACACTTATAAAACAGCTTTGAGAATAATGTAAAAATGTCTAGAGCTCTCCGGAAACATGGAAAGGGCCTGCTCCTTGTTGCTCTGGAGGGCAGAACTAGTAACAATGAAGGAAATTTTCAAGAAAGTAGATTTAGATTCCATATATGGAATACTTTTCAGTCATTTGCTAACATGGAATGGCTAGCTTGCAATCTCACAAGATATATTCATACAATGGCTTGATAAAACAGTAGGTAGGAAATGTTAGAACACTCCCTTTTCATTATTCAATGTTACTTTATAAATACAGGCTTTATCACCTATGTAAAACCTTAACTTCACAGTTGATAATGAATTTATTCAAAATCTTGCTATGTTATAGTAATGTTAGTTTAACTTTGACAAGTGAAAGGTTAGTTTCTCATGCCTTTGTGTCCCTAAACAGGCTTCATTCATCTAACAGAAATTGTTTGAGTGCACACATTATTCTTAGTTAATTCTTTTTAAAGCAAAGCAAATGACTTGGGAAGAATTTCAATATGTATGTTGAGTCCATTGTAATTTTGGTGCCTGGCCACTACGCAGAATATAAGTCCACATTACTAAATAGACTCCTAAATGAAAATATGAAAACCAATTCATAAACTCTTTGCTACTACTAGGACTGAATCTAAGACATCTTATTAATTTATTTCTAAATATAGTTTGTCAAATTGTGTGAGGCTTTAGTACTATCTCTAGCCTATTTTTAACAACCTATTTGGGTACATAAACTACTGCTTCCTTTTCCCTTGCTGTGTCATCTAGTATACTCTGTTGAAAGGAGATGAATGAAATGAATGTTTAAACTGACTTGTTGTTATTACTTTTTAAGATGTCTCATAACAGGAAAAGTGTTTGGCATGCAATCAGTAGTCTGGAATATTAACATTTTCAAGGACTTTAGGTTCTCAGTGTTTGTTTAAAATGGTTACGGAAGACAGCACAATAGTGTTTTTTCATAAAACATGTCATTATGTGAAAGGGTGATGTGGCCTAAGGAATGGACCCTCACTAAATCTTGGAAGGGCTTAGGGTGTGGAATAAAACAGCCGTTCAAAGGAGAAGATAGATAGAAAGATTTGCTTCCCTGATGGCCACAGGAATATTCTGAAAACCACTTATAATCTGTTTGAGCCCATATATGAGGCTATTTGCAGTGATGCAGAACCCTACTAGCTGTCTGTTCATGCAGGCAATTCCATTAGACCAATAAGGGCAGAGCCTATTGGGAGGAAAAGAGAAGGCACCCAGAGAATTTCCATGTGCTTGGAATGAGTAGCATTCAAATTTTATGTATTAGAGCTATGTAAATCAGTTTGTCATATTCTATTCTCTGTCTCACAGATATTAAAAAACATGGTTATTCTAAACTCAAATATTACTTGAATTTGTAAAATATTTATCCTTCAGCCCATATATTAAATGATTTATTTATTATTAAGTAAGTAAAGAGAGAGTAATTAGACAAAGGTATAACTTAACCATCATACTGGTTAAAACTGAACCAAAGCCCTCTTTTTCACAATTTATGTCATGAGAGTTGGCATGCCCATGGCTGCCAATGAGGGTAGGTGGCACTGAAAGACTGAAGACAGAACAAAGGAAGGAGGAAACTAGAAGAGAAATATAGAAAGATGATAAAAGAAAGTCGAGGTAAGTAAGGGAAAAGTAAGGTTGGAATGGAGAAGAAAAAAAAAAAAGGCAAGAGTTTTCAGAAAAATAGAATATATGGGCTGCCACTAATAATTATACAAGGTAGTGAGTGATTCAAGAGTTCTGGCAGCACAGTGCCTAAGGGATTTGACTGCTAACCAGAAGGCTGGCAGTTCAAACCCACCAGCCGCTGCTCGGAAGGAAGGTTGGGCAATCTGCTTCCATAGTGATACCGCCTTGGAAACCCAAGGAGGGGTTGCTATGAGTCCGGTCTGACTCAACAGCACATAACAACAGCAACAACAATGAGTGATTCATGTACCTTTGCATTTCAGAGCAGTGACATTTAAAACAAAGTGGGTGAATATGGGCCTTTAATCATTTTTCCATGTAAGATTAATAAAAAAAACAGAACTCATGTATTCTACTCTATTTACCTTTTGTCTCTCTCATCCTATATTTTTCATTGTGCCTGACATGGTGAACATTTCATCATAGATTAGCACTGATCTATCCATGTCTAATATTACCAATATTAATGACCATTTTAAATATAGTTTTAAGGACACATTATTTATTCAGTTATTCAGTCAACTTTCATTGACCGAATGAAAGTTGGCGATCTGGCCCACAATGTGGAAAGAATTATGTTAGAACTGAAGGAGGAGAAGGGAAGGCCAGTGGGCTCTGTGAGGGAATGGTGTCTGACAGATGAGGTGGAAAACTTAATTAATATGCGGGTAAGATAGCAAGGATGTCAATGGTATACTCAAAAGTTTGGAAGCTGCTCTGTTGGCAATGTGGACTCAGTGAAGGTTTTTAAGCCTGAAGGATCCTTATTAGGACTGGATTGGGGTATGAAAATAACATGCAGGATACTTTGGAGAAGACCAGCAGATGAGCTAAAAGGGCTGTTTTAATAGTGGAGCTAAGACCTGATGTTAGGGCCCAACTTGTGCTTAGGGACTAGGAGAAGGAAGGAGACAGTAGGTAGAGCCCTCTGGAGGTAGAAATGGTGAGGTTATGCAACTAAGTACAGCAAGGAGGAAAATAAACACCTGTTTTTTTTTCTCCGGAAGGCTTTTGCAACTGAGAGCTCAATGTAGATAGGAAAGAGGAAATTAAAAAAAAAAAAAAAAAAGATTTTTCTAGAGTATTTAAGTATGAATAAAACACTCATTTCTCATCATCATTTTAAATAATGAAAAAAGGATAAATAGCATAGTTCTGGATTGAAAGCTTGAGTATCAGGAATTTTAGATGGATTAATTAATTATAAAGGTAACAACAACAAAAAAAAAAACTACATAGAAAAAAACAAAATCAAAAACAAAAAAAACACCTCATTGCTGTGGAGTTGCCAACAACAACAACTGTGGAGTTGGTCCCAATTCATAGAGACCTCTCTTTGGGTTTCTGGTGGTATCTCAGGAGTAGAATTTTTCTACGGGAGAAAGAATAGAAACGTCTCATAACTTTTCATAATTTTTGAGTTTGTTTCTTAATGTACAAACAAGGAACGGCATGTTGGTTAAAAAGAATATAATCTAGTCTAGAACTCTGTTCAAATCCAGCCTCTGGCACTTAACAACTGTTATTTTAGACAAATTACTTAGCCTATGGCTGAATTTCATTATCTTTATACTATAAAAAGTTGCAGATAATAATGATACCTATCTTGTGTGGATGTGTGTGTGTGTGTGGGGGGGGTTTGTGTAATAGAGAAAGGGGAAAGGAAGAAGGGAGAATGTAATTGGACAAGATAATAACTTAAAGGCTTTGGCACAATACCTGGCATGTTACAAGAAGGTGCTCATCAAAAGGTAGGCACTGTTTTTATTCTCAGCAATAACACTTAACAGACCCTTGGTAGATGTGTCTTTTGGGTTGTTGTTGTTATGTGCAGTCGAGTCAGACCCGATTCATAGTCATAGCGACTCCTTGGGTTTCCAAGGCAGTATCACTACGGAAGTAGATTGTCCAACCTTCTTTCTGAGGAGTGGCTGGTGGTTCAAACCCACCAGCCTTCTGGTTAGCAGCCAAGTGCCTTAGCCACTATGCTACCAGAGCTCCTGTCTTTTGGGTAGTGGAGGGTGTTTTGATAAACCAAGAGGCAAATTTGGCATTTGCTTTTGGATGTATTAAAATGACATCCCAGAGCACACAGTTACTTTTGTGAGGGTATTTTTAACCAAAGAGGAAAAGCTGAGTTGCAATTGTGCCAGAGGTTCACTGGTTTTTGCTAATAAGTTAACGCTGAACGTGAAGGAATTAAGAATATGCCCTTACTCATGTTACATGAAGTAGCAAAAATTATCAGATGGAAACAGGAATTAGAAGAAAAAAAAAAGAAGAAGAAGAAGGCTCTGTGGTAGTTAATTGTTTCCTAACCGAGACGGCTTGTGCTTACATTAATGATTCGAGTATACAGTTTGGTAGTTTAATCACATCAGAAATAACTAGGAGCAGGGGGGCAACAAACAACACCCGCCTCCTCGGCTACTAAAACCACTCTGGCTGGAATTACTCGGGTTTAAACAATACTCTGAGTCACAGCTTCTAATTGGAGAGCCTGGCAGCCCTTCACCGGAGAGACTCCGCCTCTCCCCGTGCGGCTCCCAGTCCTGGGGAGGAGGAGCTGGCGAATGCTAATGAGCGGAGTTGCCAGGCGAGGCAGGAACTTCATTCCCTTTCTGTGTGTCAGTATCGCAGAAATTATGCCCCTTCTCTCACCATGAGCTGGCTCTCCAGTTCGCAGGGAGTTGTGCTGACTGCCTACCACCCCAGCGGCAAGGACCAGGCCGTGGGGGGGAGCCATGTCAAGGGAGGGGAGGAAGCCACCTCCAGGTAAGCCCTGGCATTGGAACGCCAGAACAAAACAAAAACCTCTTATATGCTCCAGGAAAAAAGTGACAGGGAAGTTGGTCTGGTCTGGGGAGAAAAGAACGACATGAGCACGTAGAACCTCAACTCATGCAAAAGCCAAAATGTGTGGCCTGGCTTTTATGTGCTTTTGGTCTCATCCGGTGCAAGTGTGAAATAGCCCTTGCGATTTTACTGGTGAAGACGGGGAAGAAGGAACTGGCGATCGGGCTCGCAGACTTGTTGCTTAGCAGGTGCATTAGCAAATGCTGAAAGATCAAATGACTATATTTGAAACACTTCCTAAGAGACAGAATTCTTGAATGGGCTCAGGGCACAGTCATTGGAACTGTGAGTTGGGAAAGTCTGCCAAAACGCAGGGAGGCGGCTGGCTGTAGGAGCTGTTGTTATTGGAGTGCCCCCCCCCCCTTTTGCTGAAAGCAAACCTTTTAGGCAGAAAGCCCAAGACACTGGCTTGTGAGCATGTTTCACAATCTTTTGTGTATGTGGATTTTTTTTTTTCCCTGCGGGCTTTCCCAAGGAGTGTTTTGTCAGGAAGCAGTAAGTACTCTGCTACCTGAGTGAAAGGTGGTTAATGTTAAATCATTTTATAGGCACAGAGGGCAAACGTTCTATAGACCACTGACTGAGGCGCACGGTTCCTTACCTTTCCTCTATCTGTGTACTTTGTTCTGTTTCCAAGGTTTTTTTTTTTTTTCTTTCCCTTTCTTTCTCCCCTTGCTGACCTTGTTGCTGCCACTAGTGGAGCTTTTTTACCTCCAGTCTTAGACATAAATTGCAAATGTTGGCCTGGAAGATTAGCAAATACTAACCTAATAGCCTACGATACTAATTATCAGTAAGCATGTTTCCTCGATGTTTAATGCGATAATAAAGACTTCTTTGTCCAGTTGTGACTTACGCCTATGCCATAAGCTGAGATAATGCTGTCTTTCACTTTGTTTTAAAAAAAAAAAAAAAATGGGGGAGAAGAAAAATAAAAGGAATGACTGTAATACTCTGTGTTAGACAGGATGGTGACCTGAACTTATTTTTCTCACATAGCAACCGTAGTGTGTATTAATTCATTTCCAGAGATAAAAGAATTGTTGCTTGGTCTTTACTTTCTGCCCTTTGAAGGAGAATTAGCAGTTATCTGTGGAAAATCGTGAAGTATCTTCTTCTGTTTTTATGTAGGAAAAGTGATGGATTAGTCACTCTTAAGCGGTGTGGAGCCTGCCACAGCAACCCCATGACTTGGTTTCCACATGACAGTTACAAGGCTGCTAGAATTGTACAACTCAACACTTTCTTCAAATGACTTTAGGCTAGGGTGGCCTGAGGATGTGAATTTTAGATCTTAGATTGTAAGAGTTTTAAAGGCTTTTAGTAACTTTTGTTCCATAACTCTCATTTTCACCTTGAAGAGTCAAGCTCCAAGGAATACGTTGTTGCAAGATCTGTTATTGTAGGCCTTTGCCTGCCAGCTGCCTATCCAGTTCTGGAGAGGCCTCATTCTGTGTTTGTTGTTTTGCAGCTTGTTGTGGGTGGCCAGTTGAGAGGACAAAAGAAGAAAGGGTCATTCTCAACCCATGCTAAAGCTTGACAAAGGGCCAGGGTGGGAAACTCCCCACACAGTGTCTCCTTGTGGCTTAACACCAGGTCTGCTCCCAAATGCCCCCTGCTCCCCACTGGCTGCCACACTGCTTGCATGTAAAACCAATTGCCTCGGAGTTGATTAAGACTCATGGCAACCCAAGTGTGTTAGAGAACTGTGTACCATACGGTTTTCAGGGGCTTATTGCCAGGCTTTCTTCTGAGGTGTCTCTGGGTGACCTCCAACTTGCCACTTTTCAGTTAGCAGCCTAGCATGTTAACCGTTTGTACCACCAGGAGACTCCATCCAAGGGCAGAGTTATTTTATTTGAGATGGGAGCCTGGCTTGAAGGCTTGGACAAAGGAGGGACAGTTCTCATTAGCTTTTACCCCTTAAGGTTGGACTAATTTATCAGATAAGCTTATCATTACTTTGGGAGGGACCTTGTTTAGCCTTGAAGGGTTGGCCATGTTGGGGGTGGCTGGAAGAAGAAGTTTGGAAGTCAGATGGGGTCAGTAATAACCAAATAATGATGGGATAGTTAAGGATGGGGTGGGGTTAGGTTAGCTGCTGCACAGGGCTTTGCCTTTGACTAGATTGGTCAGCTGGTGCGTAAGCATTTGGGAGGCTGCTCCAAAGTGCAATTTAATGGTTGATGCCTTAAAGAAAGGCTCTTAACAAAACGAAACAAAACCAACAAAATTCTTGAGAGGCAAAATCAGACTTCTGGACTTCCTCTGCCTACTTCAAAGTGTATAGAAGAAGGGCAAAGAGTGCTGGTGGTACAGTGGTTAAAACACTAAACTACTAACTGGAGAGTTGGGGGTTCAAACCCACCAGCCACTCAGTAGGAGAAAGATGTGACAGTATGCTTCTGTAAAGATTATATAAAGAAACCCTAAGGGGCAGTTCTGTTCTGTTCTGTGAGTTGCTATGAGTTGGAATCGACTCCACAGCAATGAGGTCCTTTAGAAGAAGTGCAGAATTCTAATTCTGCTTAACATAAGATTTTGTCTCTTTAAGTAATGTGTATGCAGAGCAAATAATATGAGAAACTGGATTATATGAAGAACAGGACATCAAGATTGGAGGAAGACTCGTGAACCGCCTGCAATATGCAGCTGACGCATCTTTGCTCGCTGAAAATGAAGAGGACTTGAAGCACTTACTGATGAAGATCAAAGACTACAGTCATCAGTATAGATGACACCTCAACGTAAAGAAAACAAAAATCATCACAATTGGTAGATCAATAAGTAGCATCATGATAAATGGAGAAATGATTGAAGTTGTAAAGCATTTCATTTTACTTGGATTCGCAACTGACACTCATGGAAGCAGTAGTCAAAAATCATATGATGTATTGCATTGGCAGTACTTCTTCAAAGTATTGAAAAGCAGAGATATCACTCTGAGGACTCAGATATGCCTGACCCAAGCCATGGTATTTTCATTCGCCTCTTATGCGTGCGGAATCTGTAGAATGAATAAGGAAGACCAAAGAAGAATTGATGCATTTGAATTGTGGTATTGGTGAAGAATATTGACTATACCATGGACTGTCAGAAGAATGAACGGATATGTCTTGCAAGAAAGAAGTACAGCCAGAACGGTCATTAGAAATCAGACTACAGAGAATATGTCTCCCATTGTTTGGACATGTTATCAGGAGATAAGAGTGTCTGGAGAGAGACAGCTTGCGTGGTAAAGTAGAGGGTCAGTAAAGGAGAGAAAGACCTTTATGAGCTGGATTCACCTCGTAGTGCAACAATGGACTCGGGCATGGCAGCAGTTACGAGGATGCGACAGGACTGGGCGGTGCTTGTCTGTGGCACCTGGGGCATGGTCAGAATGGCACCTAGCAACAAGGTATAATATATAGTTTGAGGACCGGTTTAATCAAACATTTAGTTTAATGGGATTAACTGTGAAGGACTGTGTATACATAGATATGTATATTGTTGTTTGGGTCTTTTGAAAATCTGGGATATTAGGGAATCAATTAATATTTTCATAAATCTGTTCATTTAAAGTTCCCTTTATTCCATTCCATTATCCCTCTTTATCAAGACACATTCATTTAATGCCAGATTAAGGCATTCCTCCCACTCCTGGTTTGTTGTTGTTAGGGTGGCTTGCTTGTTGCTGTGAGGCTGGAGGCTATGTTACTGGTATTTCAAATACCTGCAGGGTCATCCACGGTGGACAGGTTTCAGTGGATCTTCCAGACTAACGCAGACTCAGAAGGAAGTGGACCATCCACTTCTCAAAGAATTGTCCAGTGAAAACCTTATGAATAGACGTGAAACGCTCCTGGCTAGAGCCTCTCAAATATTTGATGAATACTGTTTTCAGGGCTATTTATTTATTTATTTATTTTGAATAATGTTTCCTCTTTGACACATCAGGATTTGAAAACATATATTAACATTAGTTGTTGGCTGACTTGTACACAGTCAGATGTTTCCGAAGGAAGTAACTTTTTATAAGTAGCTATATAAGTCTTTACAAGCTAATTTTCAAATGGATTTATTATTTCTTTTTGAAAGCAGTTTTTCAAAGAATAATGCATTTTATCTATCCTTATTGTTCTCTCTGGACTTTGCCACTATTTAAAAAATTATTGTGCTGGTTTTGTATCTTATTTTTTGTTCATTTGATAAATGTCAACTTCAAATGACATTTTTCTTCCTATTAGACCTTTTTAATTCTTTAAATCCAGCTGCCTATTTCTGTCCTCTATGAAGAAATCCATGACATTCAGTGTGTAAGATCTTGTTTTGTTGATCCCATTTGCCTTTGATATTGGATAAACGGAACCAAGAGGGAACCAAGAAGCACTGTAGCGTGTTGACATAAGCCCTGAAACTCTGGGCTCTCCAGTTAGCCTGCGTGCATTCACAGCTTGTCTTCCAGTGTGACCTTGGAGGAGTTGACCCTCTACCTTATCTGTCAGTTGAGCTTCATAATACTACTTACCTCATTGGGAAAATTAAGTGGGACGAGCCACACAAAGCCCATAGAACAATGCCTGGTTCATAGCTACCTGGTACTTTCCTTCACATTAGATAAAGAAAAAGAAAGAAATTATTGAACTGTCTAGCATATTCTTCCTAGTTTCAGGAGCATTTTCATAAATATAATTTCATCATGTGTTAAGAAACTTGGCCATGCTCTTGTGTTCAAAAATGTCATAAATCAAAATTCACCATAATGTGAAAACCCAGGCCTTTTAAGTTTGAAAGACCTTTCAGTGTCCTTTGGTTCTATAGCAACATTATGATTTGCATTGATGACAGCAACATGTAGCAGGACTGCCTTGGGGCAGCGATAGGCCAAGCTGAGGTCTGCAAACGTTGATTTTTATGGCAAGATGGAATGTGGGTGG